GGATGCATGATCTGATTAGTCGACTAATCGCAAAAATAATCGGTGACTAGTCGACTATCAAAATAATCGTTTGTGGCAGCCCTAGAAGTGAGTGAGGGTGGCCTCTGTCTATGCAGCTACCCCTGGAATAACCCAGAAACTGCTCTACTGATCTTCAAACCACATCTTTTTTGACACACACTGAGGTATCAGAACTCATCATTATTAACAGGCTCCCCTGTATTATAAGTACAGGGGAGCCTGTTTATTACTCTGAAGGCAAAGCAGGCACTCAGGAAGCAGTTTGGAACTGTGAGAGTAAAATTATTAAGCTTGGGTGTGTTGATAATGGTAATTGTTATCGCACTGAAATAATTTAGTTAGCATACTTGTCACAATCCACGTCTAAACTAAACTACTAAAACCTGAAGGTTTCTTCTTGTTCAAAGGGGGCTCTTCCTCCCCACTGTTACCAAATGTCATAGAGGTTTGTCTGATTTAGTTTTTTTTTTTCTCTGTCTTTGCAAAATAAAGCGCCTCAAGGCAACTATTATGTGAACTGGCCGTATATAAATAATCTTGAAAACTGCAAATTTGATCATTAAAAATGATCCAGAAAAATTATTTATGATGTAGAGATGTTTTACATGAAAATGAATTGAGTAGGAAGTGTTGATGTGGGGCTATGACACAGCTTAGAGCATTCACGTAACTCTAGCACTGAATTTTAGGTATTACCAGTCTTTTAAAGGTGTACATAAACTCACCATCCAGTTTATTAGGAAAACCTGTGCCATCTAATCCAATTCAGTGCAACGGAAAATTGTTTTCAGTTCTCCTTCCCTAGATTATTAACGTAGCAGTGTGGGGTGGTGGTGGTTTAGTGAAATGTGTGTCTGTGTTTGGTGTACGCCTCGTTAACGTTCTTGGCACAAGACTGCACAGGTGGTCCTAATAAAATGCTGGTTTAGGCACACTTTCAATAAAAAGACACAAAAATCTCTATCGTTTAAAAATATTATTGTAGTTTTATTGTTATCTTAATTTTCTGGCCAGCTGGAGCCTTTCAGTCTGGAGTCTGCATGCTCTCCCTGTGACTGTGGGTTGCTTTCACCCCCCTCACATAGACTTACCTGTTAGGTTAACTGGTGATTATAAATGGGCTGTAGCATGGTTGACTCCAGAGTGTCCACAAACACAATGGATGGAATAGTTTTGAGTGATGATTTTTACATTTTACAGAAACATTTGTTATTTTTGTGCTTCTGAGATCATACTCGCAGCTTAATTTGTGCAAAAAACAAGATTCTGTGTGCATGTGTTTGAGAAATGGACTGTTTACATACACCCAGATAAATATATAAAAAGTAAAAAAGAGGAAAAAAATTAAATACTGATCAGAACAAGTATTTCATTATAGTGCTGCGAAAAAGTATCTGTTCAACTCCTAGTCTCTTTTTTCTTTGTCTGCCCTACATGTTTCAGATCATCAAGCTCATTTTGTTTTACTTAAATTGTTTTGGGGTTTTTTGTAAGATTTAATTTATTAAGGGTGAAAAGGTACCTAAACCTACCTTTTTTTCTTTTCTTTTTTTTAAACATACTAACTGCCTCCTAAACTAATAACTAGTTGTGCCACAATAGGATGCAATCAAGAATTGTAGCCATCCAGAGGTGGACTTGCTGCTGTGTTTTGGTTCATTGTCCTGCTGCATTCCCAGAGTTTAAGCTTGGGCTCATTAACTTTTTGTTGGACTTTCTTCTTAAGCATTTTCTGGTAAAGAGCAGAATTCATGGTTGCATCAATCCAAGTCATCCATGTCCTGAAGCAGCCCAGATTACCACACTACCACCACCATGTTTGATGATGTAACTGGACTCACAATTTACAAAAAGTGCAACTTTCACTCGTCAGACCACAGAATCTTTTCCCTGAAGTGTGGGGCGTCATCAGTATGATGTTGTGTTTTGTGTGTTGTTGGGGGGGGTGACAGTGAAATGAGCCTCTGTGTACTTTTTGGTCGTCACTGGTTTTCTCCCATGGGTGCCATTGATTCCCAGTCTCTTATTGTTGAATCATGGCCTCTGACCTTAACATGAAGACTGTGAGCAGATTTTATTTTGTTCCACTTGCAGATGCAGAAATTAGTTTCTAATTGTCCAAAAGATAGAAGACAAAAATGCTGCTTTTGTAAATAAAAGAAACATGTTAGCATGATTTAAATGAGAAATAAATTTATAAAATTATAGAAAAAGAGTTTCTGTTAAGTTACAGAAAATGTCTCGTTGTTTTTTACAGACCCATTGTAAAGAAAAACTAATTTCTGTAATAGACCGTAAAAAAAACAAAAAAAAAAACATTTGTTATTAAATTTATTATCTGCTACTTAATTACTTTGTAGTACGTCTTTGTGTTTGGGGAGCTCTTTATGAGCAGGAAAAGCTGTATGAACTTTAAAAAATTAATTAATACATACAATTTCTAAAGCCAGATTGGAGTCTTTGCTGGGTCCCCAAGCCTTGTGTTTGACACCCCTGGCTTAGAGAAACAAACGGTTCTGTTGTTTGTGCAGTTGTGCTTGTATTGTCGCACCTTTTGTATAATCCTGAAGCCTTCTTTAACACCGTGGTTCAGGTGGAGTTGAACATACCACAGCCTGCTTCTGATTACAGACACAACACACACAAACACTGTAGCTGCAGATGCCTCCTAGCTGAGTCACCTGGACACACCCCTCACCTGCTGCACCCTCCCTAAAGAACTGAATAATCATGGAAAACACATCCTGAGGGAGGCTGGGCGCGTCAGTGGATCCTTCAGTGACTCAAGGCTGAAGATATACGAGGTTTACAGTTTATAATCTGCTCAGGTTTCACTCCAGAATCTCCCCAGGTCCCTTTAGCACATCATCGCAGCTCATAAAGTTCACACGTGTTTGCACGCTGCCGTTTCCAACATGGAAACTTTGTAATTGGAAGCAAAGCAGCGCTCATTTGTCAACATTTCATCTGCGAAGTTAAAGAAACAACAACACAACCTCACACTGAAAATATTCACTTCTCTGGCTTCCTCGTGGCTCCTTATTACTGATTAATGTGTCTCAACTAACCTCTGTTTTGTTTGACTGAGGCCCAGAGTACAGGGCAACAACAGGAGTTATAGCGCCATCTGCAGGCCAACTTTGAAAATGACAGAAAGCAGCCTTTTCACCAAGTTTCCTTCAAGTGACTACAAGTAAAGAATAGGAAAACACCAAACTGTCCAATTTATTTATTGTCCCTGAATAATGAGGACAATTTATATATAAAATTACAATAATTGGATTGTAGTTTGAGTTATTATGCTTTTTTAGCCTTTTTTAGGCAGGCTTCATTTGTGACAGCAGCTATATAATCATTACGCAGTGTTGATATTTTTAATTTTAAAAATGCTTGGCATGGACTGTGGAAAGCTGTGTGCAGTCATTTATGTGTTTCTTAATCATTGTAGCTTTTGATTTTATTGTAATTTGTCCTTTCTCACTCACTATGTCTTAATAAAGCTCTCTGCACTGAGTCATACAAAAGACATGGTGTGGAAGAGAGCCAGAGATTAATAACATCTCTGGCTCTCTTCCACACCATGTCTTTTGTTCTGTCTTCCTCCCCTTACTGGTCACAGCAGATAGCCGCCCCTCCCTCAGCCTCTTTCTGCTGGAGGTTTCTTCCTGTTAACAGGAAGTTTTCCTTCCCACTGTGGCCAAAGAGCTTGCTTATAGGGGGTCATATGATTGTTGGGTTTTCTCTGTATTTATTATTGTAGGGTCTGTCTTACGATATAAAGCACCTTGTGGCAACTTCTGTGATTTGGCACTGTATAAATAATATTGAATTTAATTGAAATAGAATTAAAGCCAGACGTTGTATTTGATGCCTTAAAACACACAAATTGGAATGTTTTTTTTTAATGCGCAGGAACTTGTTTCTCTCTGCAGGATAAATATCCATCTGTCGTCACTCTCCCTGGAGGCCCCAGGTCAGAAGTCATGACCGTGAACCACCCCAAGCTTCCTGGGTAAGAACTCTCATCCTGATCCAGCAGTCAGAAAAAAATGCAGCTGTCTGTAATGCAATGTCATCTTTTTTTCTTTCTTTTTTTTGGTTTACAGCTGTATGTTATTCATTCATTGGTCAGTTGACGTTTCCAGAGAGGGCATTGTGATGCCGAAGATCAACCTGCTCACAAAGATCCCAGAGAGAGGTGAGCTGGTGATCCTGAGCTCTGCAGAACTGACCCTTTGGCAAACACTTTAAGTGGTTTCTTACCTTAAAAGTCAGAGAGTGCTCTCAGCATGTTTAATGATCCTGAGTGAGAAAATAACATAACGTCCATGCAGAAAATGTAACCCAGAGATAAGTTGCAAATCCAATGTCATGACTATTCTGCACTCATTTACTGAAAAAAAAAATCCTCGTTCAGTCATTACACTTAAAATTATTACTCAGTTTAATAAATAATTATTTTATGCACCACTCAAATATCACAGAAAACTGCAGTAAATCCTTCACTTTAGTTTGGTTAAGCAAAACTCATTTTATTCATCCGACAACTGATTTTTTCCACTGTGATATTTAACTTTACTCCCTCTGATTATCAAATCCTGCAGTTATTTCTGTCAGTTAAGCTCATATTTTTGGTTTTGTGGTTTCTGCAGCTCTCCAGCTGTTCCCTTCTCAGGCTGTAGGCGGTGCTGCTGAGGCCTTTGAGAGCCTGCTGAGGATTCTGGGACCTGAAGCTGCCCTGGAGTCCATCATCCAAGCAGTCAGCCTTTCACAGGAAACTTAAAACAGAAACACCTCCAATATAATGTGGGGTTTTTTTCTATTTAGATTAATGTCACAGAAATGAAGGACAGCAAGAGTTTAGTCTCTTAGAAATCTTTATTTCAATAGAAAGAGCACGACTGTAACAGCAGAGCTCACGGGTCAAAATCTACAAAAATAAATAATTTAAATACAAAATGCCGGACAGCAGTGTCACCTTTTGTATTTCTGATAGTTTGTCTTCTCTCAGCTATTTACACAGTTATTACAAGTCTGTCGGTATCACAGTGCTGTGATATTTCTGCAGGCCAACACTCAGACAGCAGCGGAGCTGCGGCTCACGGGTGAGACAAAGCGGTCTGGACACGGTTAGAAGGTTGTTTACAGACTGAAAAGTATGTTTTTACTTCACACCGAGGCCATCGATAAATGCAACCTCGTTCAGTGGTTATAGTGTTAGTTTTCTTCTTTAAATCTTACAACAAAAATAAAAATTGGGCAGTTATGAAAAGCTGAAAGTTTGTAGACAAACTGCTGTCTGTTAACGCTTATTCACAGACGCAGCACTGAAGCTCGATCTTAAAACAAACATCAGTGGCTGCTAGAGGGGCAAGAAAGTCATCAGACAGGCACATGTAGTCGGGTCTTGATTAGTTTGGTCAACAGTTGTGATCCCAATTAATTTAACCTTCATGTGAGTGGAATCATTACTGGTGCCAAGTGTCTCCAACCACTTCACACTTGAGCTGAACTAAAGAGTGAAAAATGAGAACTTTGTAGTGAAAATGAATGCAGAGCGTAACAGTTTATTCCCGATTATCTTTTCTTCTGCATTAGATGGAAGCCCAAATTAATCGGCTCAGGTCTACTAGAAAGATCTGCCTGACATTTAGTTCTCGATCCTGTGGAGATGCAGAACCTGCTCTGCATCAATGGAAGAGGTATACATGTGTAGGTGTCCGGACACTCCTCGATCTCACCGCGCTCCGCTGCCCTGCCTGCCTGAGGCGTCTTCATTGCAACATTTAAAACGATCAGTGGTTGGTTCAGTTCACTGCTGTCCACTCTCCAGCCTTCAACTGCTCCTCCTCCCAAAAATCCAGGTGTGTGTCAGAGGGAGCCGGACTTTGATTGAATCCAGCTTAGTGTTTGGATTTAACAGAATTTCTGATAGGCGATGAGGAGGAATGGAGTGTGGAGGACACTTAGTGTGATTCATTTTCAGACTGGCTGATGGAGGCATCTGAAGGTGGAGAGCGGAAGCAGGAAGTGAAGTCAAGTGTTACCAGTTTATCTGAAGCCTGTTGGCACTGCTGGAAAACCTGCAGCGCTCCTGAACATATCATTACTCAAACGTCACATGACCCTGTCGAGCTTCTTCAGGAGTTTGAGGTACTGAGAGTTCATGGCTGCGTCCATGGATCGCCGCCGCTTGAACGCAGCCTGTAACAGTTTACTCACATGCACCCCCCCCTCAGCTTCCAGTCCTACCAGAACATTTAGGCACATGGATGCACACACACAGACAACAAGAAGCCACTTATGGCACAAAAACCAGCAGCAGCAGCATGAAGCTCAGCTTGTCAGAAGAGGAATTTTTATTATAATTATTATTATTGTTACCCAGCAGCCTTTGCAACTTTCCCCTGCTTCACATTAAAACCCTGAACACCCCCTCTGTGCAGCAGAGAGGCCACACTGAGCTTCATTTGCAGACGTGAATTAAATCTATGCTGCAGAGTAACATGCAACGCCTTGGAAACATCACTAACAGCAGGGGTTCAATGACTGGGCGCTAGTTTGTGGATGCTGGTTTGCATCATTATAATGGAAACGAATAATATTTTATTTATTAGTAAAGTGAATGTAACATTTCTGCACACCAGCTGCATTTCTAGTCAAAAACAAAGAGCTGACATTGACAGGAAGTGTTCTGCACTTCACAGCATGAAGGTATTTCATGCCAGCAAATTTTCTTTACATTAATGAGGTTCTGTCCTGGTCCTGTGGTAAATCTATAGTTATAGATATATTTGTCATTTTATTTATCACAGATAAATGACTGATTCTGAGTGTCTCTTTACTGAATGGCATGATATCAATTTCCTAATTAAATGCACAGTGCATGCTTTCCTGGGTGGACAGACTTAAAGGTTTTCAAGTCTTTGATTTTTCCTGAATTTCACTCAAACTACAGACTTTAAAGAGGGAAACATGCCACTCACAGAATCCTGAAACTGAGTATGGCAGAATTAAAGGTGGTGGTAATATAGAAATATAGTTTTTTAGCATGTTAATGCTTATTTTGGTGTAAAGCTGGAAAAGCAACAGACTGGTGACTGTACACATGCATTTCTATGTGTTCAGAGGTATTATTGAGAAGCAAGACTCGCTTCAGCAAAGGAAAAGTAATCATTGTTTACTTTCTCTTTATGATCACATCATTGCTATAGTGAATGACTCAACTCATAAATTCAGCTTTCAGCTCAGTTAAATCGCAGCGCTCAGACTGAATGAAAGACATGCTCTGTGTATGATCACACGCGTGATGATCATGCATCAGTGTCTCCATCCGATGACAGAAGAGTCTTGAGTCCACGTTACGAGGACGTTGAAGTTCGAGGTTTCTGTATTTCTACAGAGCAACAATTAGTTTGAATGTTAGAATGAGTGAAATGCAGCAGTAATGTGCTTTCATCTCTGATAAAGGCCCCGCTGTACCTCAAAGGTCACTTTACCTGAGTACATCATGAAGCTCAGTGTTGCTGACACAGTCACATCAGACTGTAGACTGAATCAGTTTTGCTAACTTTTTTCCCCATTTTCTCAGACACGATATTATTTTTAATCAAACAGTACCATCCAGACCTTTGTTTTACTCCTCTTATCCTGTATAAAAGACAGACTGTGAGCATCAACAACACAACATTACTGGAGTGGAGGCAGAAATGCAAGAGATCACCTCTCTGATAAATCTAGTTAAACTTTCACAAGAGGACACATGCACCAAAATTAGCGCACATACTCTTGTGAGTCCATTTTTATGAAGCCAAATAACAATTTGAAAATGAAAGCAGCTCCAGAGTGACATGAACACAGCTTTTTGCTTGTATCCACTTTGAAAGGTTTGTGTTGCGGCTTGACCTTTCACATATTTAGCAGATTAAACCAATAGGGGTTTGGGACAAACAGGGAGGCAGCGTTTCGCTTATGACCAAACACCAAGCCACCTCTTTCAGCACGGAAGCAAAGCCTGCTCAGAATCAAACCTCAGACCAGTGACATTACACCAAAGCAAAGCAGAGATCCTCCCCTCACCTCTCTCTCAACATCAGAGGACAGCCACGCCCACATTCATGAACTGACATCAGCCCAACAACCTGCTTCTCCATCACTTCCCCTCTTCTCTGTCTTCTGCAGCACTGCCACATGCGGCAATCTGGAGGTTAATTCTTAACTGTCACCATACGCTTTATTAAAGCAGGAGAAGCTCTAATAAAGCATGACAGATGTTCAAATTCACCTCCCGATGGGGGCGATACAAATGCTCTCGTATCAGTAACACAAACACCTGGAAGTCACTCAAATATCTTGTTATTCAGAGGTGACCTCGTGCAGAGCAGCAACAGAAGTGCGGTGAGGAGCTGCAGCTCTGCGCTGAGGGTGGTCAAAATCCCACCAATGCTGCGTCTCCTCTTCATCAGAGGCATCAGGGCCGCAGTTATCCTCCTCTTCAGGACTCAGACTGGGCGCTCACATGGGGTGGAAGAGCAGGGTGCAGTCCTCCTTCTCTCTCACAGGGCCCTTTGGCAAGGCACCGCCAGTCCTCAGATAACAGGTGACGATTTTCTGGTCCAGGCGCAGCTGGCGGGGGATGCTGTCAAACGGCTTCGGGTCCAAATCCAGGATGGAGGCTGAATAGGAGAAAGCAGGAGGTCTGAAGTCCCTGAGCTGCCTCTGACTGGAAAGACTGGAGGAGACAAGGAGGAGGAGGATTAGAAACAGAAAGACAAGCTGATGGCGCCACCTGCTGGACTCTCCAATACACAGTAGTGTTGATCTTTCTCAGTATTTTATTTTCACATCTGTAAATCAAAGGACAAACCTGTGAAGGAGCTTCCTACTCCAGACCGCTCTGTGCCGAAAACTCAACGATGCATTCAAGTGTCAATTTTCTTTTTTTGTTCATTACTAAATGAACAGTCTAATTAAAGCTGCCATTGGTTATTATTCATAGATAAAGTACTACAACTAAACCCTGATTTGAATCTGTGCACATGAACATCCTCAAATAAACAGAGCCATCAGCGATTCTTATAAAAGACACTTTATGCATTCCTAGTGCCAACAAATGCACAACATTTCCTCCAGCTGTTTGTTGTTGTTGGTTTTTTAAATCTTTTCACATGTTTTCAAACTCGCTGATGAGGAAACTCAATCCAAGCGTCACTGTTTCACCTACAGAAAAGATTTTTCTACTTGCACAGCTGAATTCTCACCTTTCATTGTCCTCTTCCTCCTCACTGCTGGGCACCAGGGCGACCATGATGGAGCAGTCCTTGGCTGTCATGGCCACACGGTACTGGTGCACCTACAATAGAAACACAGCAGGTAGAACTGTTAGAATATCGTTATGTAGGCAGGACATTTGTTAAGTCAGGTAACACAGATTCACCGTCTTCAATGAAAGTGAAACTAATCACACAAAAGTATGAACTCAATCCCCAGCATCCAGTTTTGTGCTGGGAAAAACTCTTCACAGCTGAATCGCTGTCATGTCTCAGTAACCACATTCATGTGATGACACGCTTTATAAAACTTAACGACTAAAACCAGGGACACGCCCGCTACATTCATTATTTGTTTCGGTTATTTTTTCTCTAAAGTCTAGTTCATACTCCAATATTACAATAACGAATATTTAAAACTAAACTGTGGGAAAAACTATAGTGAACGTGGTGTTGGCATGCACGATTAGGTTGTATATCACATTTCTGCTCTCTGGTCCTTTCTACTTCTGTGTTTCATTTTCAGTAAAGCATTTTGGTGGCTGTTGTTGTTTTAATGTGAAACTGATGCAAACAGTGCACCGACACTTGTCTCCAGGGCTCTGACCTTTGCAACAGCGTACTCCACAGAGCCATCATCCTCTGCCGGACATTTCTGCAGCTTCTCCAAGAACGCTTCATTGTACGGTCCTTCTAT